GGGTTTCGACTTCTGGCCTGGGGGCGTCGACTTCTGGCCTGGAGGCGTCGACTTCTGGACTGGAGGCGTCGACTTCTGGACTGGAGGCGTCGACTTCTGGACTGGAGGCGTCAACCCTTGGACTGGAGGCGTCGACCCTTGGACTGGAGGTGTCGACCCTTGGACTGGAGGCTCTTGGACGGGCTGGACCGGAGCCTCTTGGACGGGCTGGACCGGGGACAAAGTCTCTGCAGGCTGGAGCGGGGACAAAGTCTCTGCAGGCTGGACCGGGGACAAAGTTTCTGTAGGCTGGACCGGGGACAAAGTCCCTTGGATGGGCGGCACAGCTCTGGCTTCAGGAGACTGCTGGTGATGGTGGTGACGTTTGTGACGAGTGCGTCTCCTCGGAGGTGCAGGGATGACGTCGGCAGAAACGGGGGGAGAAGAGGAGATTTCTGGGACATCTACTGACCAAGAGCACAGACCATGAGGTGAGGATTCAGCTCCCTTAGCAACCTGACCCACCAGAAGACTGGAGGTGGCGTCAGGAGGAACTGTGCCTCGCCAGCAACGCTGATCAGGAGATGAAACCCATACTCTTTGCTGCTGTGAAGTGGAGGGTGGACTCATCTGAGGTGCTGAGATGGCATCAACATGTACAGGAGGGATGAAGATGAAACCGGATCTGATTGTCTGAGACGACGTAGGATGGGACTGGAGAATAGGAGCAGATAGAGGAGGATCACGGCCAAAAGTGTGGAGCAGCACTGAGGCGAATTCCCAGAACGACATCGTCTTGAGGGACTCAACATCGAAATTGTCTGCGACCCACCGCAAGGCTTCGCCTCTCAAACGCCACACCGTGAAGGTGACTTTGCTGAGCTCCGGGGATTCCAGATCCAAGCAATGGGCACAGTCCCGAACAAAATGCCTACAGGTATCCGGGTCACCATGGTAACAGTTCATCGGCTGGTCCGTTGGTGTATCCAGAGGTTCTGCTGGGTCCTGGGACGGTTTGTCCATTCTGTCACGTTTCGGGGATGTTTAGGACCCAAATATGCAGATACCCAGGAGGACACGAGGCAGGAGTAGATACAAGGAAAAAATCCTTTTATTAGAGGATGAACAAAAACAAATCCAAGGCAACGAGCCTAAAGTCCAAAGTCCTGGAGCACAGGACACCCAAAGCTCTCAAAGAGCACGAAGACCAAAGACTTTGAAACAGAAGCTCACCTAGAGCACCAAGTCTGGGGATGAGACAAAAATCTCATAAAGAGCACGAACAAACGCAGACAATACAAACAAAGGACCGACAAGACACTGAGACAAGACAGGGCTTAAATACACAGGGAGGACGAGAGGGAGATGAGCTGCAGGTGTGTGGGGTGTGGGAGGAGGACCAGGTGAAGGCAATGACTAATCAGGGGAGAAACTAACTTGACCTAAGAATAAAACCTAATACAAAAGAGCAGGAAACGTAACTACAATTCAAAGGAAGGGGAAAAAAAATAATAAACACTGATGGGAAAAACATACTAAATCATGAAAGGCTGTAACTAAAGGAAATGACTTGAGAAACCTAGAAGGCTGGAGATCTAGGGGCAAATGGGGAAAACCAGAAAACACATAAGGAAGATGCAGACATGACACATGAGGGCGCTAGGAGACAAAAGGAGCACCTAGAGAATGAATGGAGGACACAAGGAGACACATGAGGGGAGATGCAGACACAGACCATGACAGTATGCTATCAATTTACCCCTCACAAAAGCTATAGAGGCTTCCCAAACACGCAGAATATATTCGTGCTACCAATGTTTACTTAAAAAAAGTGCTTAAGATCTTCACCTAAACACTCCTTAAATAATTTATCCTGTAAAAGAGAAACATTCATCCTCCACCTTGAACCTCTTATATTCTCCAGTCCTAGTGTAATACTGAGTTCAGTCAGTGCAATTGTTTTTATATCACAGCTTATTACGTTAGACAACATAGATTTTGAAATTAAAAACAGATCGATCCTAGAGTAAGATTGATGGCAATGAGAATAAAATGGGTATTCCCGTTTTGATGGGTTAATTAGCCTCCACGCATTGATTAGGCCCATATCTTCCCTTAGAGCTAGTTGGGCCTTTAGATGAACTTCTGTCCAAAACAGGATCCATTAGTTCATTCAAATCACCTGCTAGTATTATTCGTCCTTCCATATCTCCCAATACCGTGTTATCCAATGAAAAATAAGAGGGTCTTCTTTATTTGGAGCACAGATGTTACACAGTATTAACTTAACTCCCTCTACCAGAACTTGGACACATACCATTCTTCCTTCTGTATCTTTAACTTCTTTATTCTATGAGAATCAAATATTTATTTTAATGAGGATAACTGCCCCATTGCAAGCACTTGAATGAGAACTATACAAGAAATGTGATTTACCCCGCCTCCTTTAAACCTCAGCTCTTCACCATCATTTAAGTGGGTTTGAGATAGGAATTTACACCTTTTGGTTGGATTTCCGCACCCATTAATTTTCCAAGATATACATTTTACATATTTTCCTGTCATTTCCAATTGTAAATTCCAAAATGACTTGAACCTGCAACCATGCACATGAACAAAAGAAACTTTTGCTCCCCTGAATAAAAACCCACTGTATGGGTGCACCCAGCAAAAAAACAGAACAAGTGGAAAAGGAACATTAGAGAGAAAGAGAAAAAAAATAGAAACGTTTACCCTAAGGCTGCCTAATGCAGCCTCGAGGGGAAAAAAACAAAACAAACCTTATCGGGACCGTAGGATGCTGCTCCGCTTCTCCCCTCCTGGGATGACAGATGATGAGATCTGCCCCCCCTCCGACAGACAAACACAAGGTGTCTCAGGCTCCTCGAGGTTACGTACTCAATCAGTCGAATTTGGGATCTCCCCTCCCAGCGCCTTTTTCTCCTGCTCATCCTCGTTGCTGAAGAACATTTCCGCTGCCTTTGCCGAGTTGAAGCTTACATTTTTCCCCTTCCAATTTACATGCAGTGTTGCCGGGAACGCCAGGGTGTATTTAACATTGCGCTCCTGAAGCTTTCGTTTCACGACTGTAAACGCCTTCCTTTTCTCCACCAACTCCTTATTAAAATCGGGAAACACAGACAACCGACATCCTTCCCAATCAAACCCGCGATTCTTCTTGGCTGTCATAATTACTTTATCCCTCGCTGACTGCCTCAGGAAGCGTATGAGCACCGGCCTTGGAGCTCGGTTTGGGTCTAGGAGCGAGGCAAAGGCGCTGTGGACGCGCTCAATCTTAAACTCGACATCATCATGCACCCCCAGACCCTCAACAAGCATCCTCCGAACACTACTCAGCAGTGTCCCACCAGTACCAACAGTCTCTTTCAACCCAATAACTCTCACGTTGTTCCTCTGACCAGTTTTTGAGGGCCTGGATTCACTACAGTATTCAGCTCGGTTGTCGTCTGCTTTATTGTAGATATAACTCTGGCAACACTTTGGAGTGCACCACTCATTTTAAATACTTCAGTAAATAACTTTGCCAAGTCATGCGAGGCAGGTGCCTCACCACCATCCTCATGTGCAGGGTTGCTGCGGGTAGCCACGCAGCTCGAACTTTTAGTCTGCTTCAATGTGGCCATTACTGAATTATATTCCTTACTTTGCTGCAAATAGGCGACAGCGGCTCTTACTCAACACGGCTGAAAGAGAGTGGCAATAAATAGGAGCCTGGACTGTAGAATGAAGAGCAGAGGTACTCTAACCAGCTGCCATCTTGTTCGCCGTGCCCACGTGACTTCTATCTATCCATCATCTAATTTCCTGCGGTGTTTGTTATTGGACTTCTGTGCTTGTCCATAATAAACACCATGTTCAGACATAAAGTTGTCCATATGTGATCTTGGCACCAGGATACCTTAGGCCGTAGCTCGATGATCGACTTTGTCATTGTTTCTTCTGATCTGCATGTCTAGCAGCACTCAAGGATCAGGATTTTATTCTTAGAGCAGGGGTACATTTCAGAAAACAATAAAATGAGTAAATGTATTTTTTATGTAGTGAAATAATAAAATTTTGTTGGGAAATAAATGTTTAGAATAAAACTTTCTCAGTGTTGGACTAAAACAATTTAATTATAGAATTGTTTTACATACAACGTGGAAAAGTTATATTGTTGAGAATATTTTTCTAGTTTAATCAAGTCAGTTCAGGTTTTTGGATAATATCAATCAATCAGTCAATCAATCAATCAATCAATCAATCAATCAAAGCTTTATTTATAAAGCGTCTTCTGCGACCCTGTCAGGAAGCCCAAGGCGCTGAACATGGTACATGAGAAAAGTTAAATATGATGAATAAATCGAAAATAAAAGCAATTCAAATATTACAAAAAAAGGTAAAACATTCTAGTAGAAGACAAATGGATTGAGAAGAATGGGTTGAGAATGGGCAGAAGACAACTTGTTGAGAATATTTTTTCTAGTTTAATCAAGTCAGTTCAGGTTTTTGGATAATAATACCCAACAATGCCAAATGTAGCTTATTTAATATTTTTTCTAATCGTGAATCAGATTAGTGCTTCCATTAAAACTCTGCTGTGTCAAATTCATCTGACCTGTGGTGGAAGATCCGAGTTCTGCAATCAGTAAGTGCCAATTGTATTTCCTTAAATAATGGTCGTGTTATTATAAACTCCAAAAAAGTAGAAAATTAGATCTGCCTTCATCTCGTGTGTGTGTGTGTGTGTGTGTGTGTGTGTGTGTGTGTGTGTGTGTGTGTGTGTGTGTGTGTGTGTGTGTGTGTGTGTGTGTGTGTGTGTGTGTGTGTGTGTGTGTGTGTGTGAGAGATTTTCCCCTAGCTCAACATGACGTCGTGGGGGTTCATAATGAAAAATCAATAAAGTTTGTTATTTTATAAAACGTGAGTCGTGACATTATTAAAATTCTGTTTATATTAATCAGAAATATCAGAATACAGAAAAATACAGAAGCCCGCGTTTTCAGACCGGAAGAGGTGCGGCTGTAGCCCCTCCACAATAAAAGTCTGAGGTCTGAAGCTTGAGAGTTGACATTCCTGGAGCGGGTCAGGCTAGCGACCGTCGGAACCATGACAGAAGCTGACTTGTACACGCTGTACAAAGGTGTTTATGTTCCTACAGTTGTTCACACACCGGAAAGCCTCAAATACTTCGAGGAGTTCAAGTTTCGTCCAGACGACGTTCTCATCGCCACGTACCCGAAGTCAGGTGTGTTTCCCCGCCGACGCGCGTTCGTGTTTCCCCCAGAAGCAGTATGGCAAGCCAAAACCATAAAGCAGCGGGCCCATGGGCCCGTTCTGCAGAACCTTTTAGCTCCTCTGCTGAGTGATGCTGACGGGTTAGGCAGCATCAGGATCTGCAGGGAAAGTGTCTGCTCTGCAGCAACAAGTTTTCAGCTCTAGTATTGGTTAAAGCATCGCTTAGAAAAATGACCTGCTTTTACCTTCAAATGTCAGAAATGATAACGTTTCAAGATGCTTTAGCATATTAATTCTTTATAAATATAAACATATTTATTGCCTTATTAACCTTTAGGTCTTTTGTCACACAGGAGGTTAAAACATGGTAATGTGTTGAAGATCTGCAACAATCTTCCTACAAAATGTTAAAAAAAAAAAAAAAATAAGAGAAGGGTTAGGAAATGTACGCTTGGATATTCTGCATTAACATTATCCTGGAGGTTATGGTCATAGAGAAGTGGTGCGACATAGGCTGCATGACGTGACTGGTCTTATGATGCAGGAATATAATATTCATAGTCATTAGGAAGGAGTATGAGAAGATAAAGAATAACAAACAAATGAAATAAAACAGAACAGATTAACAACTGAACATTGGTAAACAGATGTATTGTGTAATGCTCTGTGGGATAAGGGTCATGTTTACATAGGGTGTATTATGTTTTTGTTAAGGGTTTATTATTCTTTCTTCATGATTCAGTTATTAGGAATGGGACAATGACTGGATGAGGGTTTCACAGGATTGTACGTTTCTTTTTTATTTTGTTTGTTTTAAATATTACATTTTTTAGGTTGCTATCAGTATGTGAAGAGCAGTTAAAGCAAAGTGGCAAAAATGTTCCAGAAAAAAACTCTACTTAGTTCCAGAGTTTGCCAAAGGTTTTACAAAGAACAAGACTTTCTGCATCTCTTACACACACACACGCACGCACGCACGCACGCACACACACACACACACACACACACACACACACACACACACACACACACAGTTCGTTTTTCTATTTGTACTAGGACTTTGTATTGACATCCATTCATTTTAGTAACTGCGTTTCTAACCATAACTAGTGTACTCCTAAACCTGTGTGTACATGCATGCATGCTTGTACATGTTTAAAAATCTTGTTCTACATGTACCCGTTTTTAACTTTGAGCACCTGCCCCTCTCTCTGTACGGCCCGGGCTTCAGGTCCTAAATGCAGGAAAAAATGTCTGGTTTTGGAAATTCAATAGCCTCTTTGATGCAGTTCTCTCCTCTTTGTGTTCTTTCATAATGAGTCATATTTTAAACTGTTGTTATAGAACTGGGAAGTGTTGATTCCTAAAACCAAAGGGTTTTCTATCGAGCGCAGTTACACTATGTGTCACTCTGGGGTTTTCTCTCAGATCAGCTGATAACAGCAGCCATTCAGACCTCTCCGATATCAAGTTTCATGTCTTTCTTCCACTCAGCTGGGTTCTCCTCCCTCTGACATACTTTTTTCTTTTGTTCCATTCTTCTTGGTGTCTTCAGGTTTGGTATCACTTCAGCTTTTCTTGGTTTACCAGAAGATGCTCCCCAGTGGTCCAACCTAATTTTCTGACTCTGTATGCCTTAGTAAACAGCCATTTACAGTATCGATGTATAAAATGTAAATAGTAGGAACTTGAAGTAATCAATTGGAAATATCTTTTCACTTTATTTTATTATTATAGTTTGAAGAATGCCGTAACTGTCAAAACCAGTGCAGATTATTATACATGTGCAACACTGTTAAACCATTTTTTCAGTAAGATAATTGTAATTTTTCGAAGTGTTTAATGAAAAGAAACAAAGCTGACTAATCACAGAAATAATGATTAGTTGATTAGAAACAAGTGCTCATCTAGAACATTTGAAATTTGTGTTACAGCAGTTCATGTTTTCAACTTAAATATCAAATATTAAAGAAAGTTAGCAAATCGGTAGCAAGTATGCAGGTGCTTCAGTATTGTAGTGGGCACAATCATCAACAGACACGTTTGTTTTATAAGAGGTTGAAAGTAATTGGTTTTAACCAGAGTTTCAGGATCATGAGGACATTTTCAGAGTCATGTCTTGGTGAAGCAGCAATGAAAAACATTTTTCTTGAAAGATTTATGTTAATAAAAACATTCAAGAGCATATTAGCCAAGAAAGCTCATTAGCACATTCTAGTTTAAGGCTTCTATAGGAGAACAACAAGCAGACATGTTTCAAACTTTTATTAAAGTGCTCTGATCCTGGATCTGGGAAGGTTCTGGAGTGGCTGGTCTGAGGATCTGGAGAGTGATGATGGAGAAGCAAGACAGAACATCTTCAGAAGCTCCCGTAAGACAAGTATAACAGTAGTAAAAACAACAACAAAAAACAAACAAACAAAAAAACCAATAGTAAATACTGAAAGTGGATGATCTTAAGAAGAATGGAGTTTTGGACAGAAAGAGCACCGATGTTCCAGCTGGACTCAGCCCGGCGAATCTGTGATGAAGTAGTGCTGCCTCAACCTCCTCGTCTTTCATTGGGTCTCTGAAGTTTAAATTAAGTGCATGAGAAACCCATGGGGAGGGCTCTGCATAAATGAGAGTAACGTTGAATTTTAAACGCGTGAAAACTGTCACAAAGTGGTGTTAAAAGCGGCGTTTTATGTCACAGAGCGGCGAAAAAAGCTGCGTTCAATGTCCGTACATAACGCCGTTTTTTACGCCACCCACACAGGGAACGCGTCTGGGATTAGGGTGACGTAAGAAACGGTGTTCAATGTCCGGAAAAAAACGTTGTTTTTTCCTGCGTCTACGGGACCGTTAAGAACGGCTCTGGCTGGCGTCAAATACGGCGTTCTGGGAGAGTTTTCGCCGTATTTTACGAACTCTTGACACATCAAACAGCGTTTTTTTCGCCATCTCTTAACTAGACGGGTTGGGAAAGTGGAGTATTTTGGCGGTTTTGGCTTTCCATATTTAAGAAGCTGCACCACCTCGAGTCACTCGGTCCAGTAACAGAGCGCTATGTTTGGTGGTCAACAGAGATGGGAATGGTGGCATCAGCAAGTCATCTCCATGCTGTGTTTTTGTTCTGCTCAGCAACTGACCCAGCTTCATTCACTGTGCTGGGACTGACTTGAATTCTGCAGCCAGAGTGTTTTTTCCGTAACGGACCACAGGCCCCAGTGGCCATCTTGTTAGAGACGGGACACCCTGGTCAAGTCTCCAGTCCATCACAGGGACACACAACCAGTCACACTGAGGGACAATGCAGAGTGTCTAATTAAGTTGACCACAGAGAGAACATGCTAACTCCACAAAATAATGCTGCAGCTGGGATTGTAACCCTTGACCTCACTGCCAGGCAGCAGTGCGACCACGTTCTGCATTACAGGAGTTACTTAGTAATACACTGGCGTTTGTTATGCATGCATTGTGCCGGGGGACAAGGGGAAAAATCCCATTATGATAATATTCTTAATGTAAATCGATATATATGATGATACAAAACAGTCACTGCTTTTGTCTGTCTTTACTGTTCCCCGGTACTTTTAAGTGAAATTTGGACACATGATTGTATTTTTTCTAAAGATCCATCCGTCCATCCATCTTCTTCCGCTTATCCGAGGTCGGTAAATAGAGAGCTTCGCCTTCCAGCTCAGCTCTCTTCACCACGATGGATCGGTACAATGCCCACATCACTGCAGACGTGGCAGCAATCTGACTGTTTATCTCGCCCTCCATCCTTCCCCCACACAAGACCCCAAGATACCAAGACTCCTCCGCTAGGGGCAGGACCTCATCTCTGACCTGGAGAAGGCATTAAGGCCAACATTTAATAGCACTTTTAGATAAATAAAAGAGGTTTTCTTTAAACTGCAAATTTCACACATTAAAGGATAACAGAAGAAAAAAAGAGACATTCTTCTGTTCAAGTCAAACTAATAAAATGGACTTCGGAATGTAAATTCTCCAAATCCCCCTTCTTGTTTTAAACAGTTTTTTTCAAAGAATATGCATTAAAAAAGACATTTTAGCCTTTAAAAAAAAAGGTTCTTACTTGCTGAATGTTTTCTTCTTAAATGTAGTTGGTTACCAAAACACAATAGTCTTTCATTTGTAAAGAGTGTGAAACGACATAACCAACCTCAGACTGGGCCACAGTAGTTCTTGTATGTGATTTTTTTAAATGCATTCACAACTTTTATACTTTTTATTTGTTCTTATGAACTAAACTTCATCAAACTCAGAGCAGCTCAACATTTTTACGTCTTTTCCGGATTTACTTTGACAATAAATGTGTCTTCACTAAAAACCTTTCCCTGTGTGACTAAATGAATGTGAGTATATAGATAATTTTATTGATGGTGTTCTGTCTGGGATTGTTTATTGGACCAAATGTCAGTTATATTATCTAAATCACATCTTTCTATTGGTAAAATGGTTCTCAAAGGCGATGAACTCCCGCTCTAAAGTTAGAACATTTAGCATTATACTCAAAGAATGCCATTACAATTTAAATACATCAGTCGTGGTAATGACGGATTTCTTTGTAAAAGTTTTTCATGCTTACGAAGAACTACAATAGTGAATTTGTCTGGACCAATCAACATCTTCATTGTCAACATGCTAACGTAACTTTTGCAAATGTAGCAACGTGAGATCTGTAAGTGTGATGTCATCAGCAGGCGCAGGCCCCGAGCAGACCCCGAGCAGACCCGGGACCTACACCGGACTCATGCTTCTGATGGTAGATTTCATTGACCCCAGCCCTATTGAAAAATGGGAGGTGGATCTATCAAAGTCAGCTTTGACCAGAACTTCTGGTCCCAAACTTGTTTAAAAGCTTTTAAAATGATCAGACACTCCAATTTACAATTAATTCATCACAAAATTCTACACAGAGTACACTATACAGGTCATCGGATGTTCAAGATGGGGTTTGTGTCGTCTGACACCTGTACACACTGCACAAACAACATTCCTGACAATTACATTCACGCACTGTGGTCCTGTCCACCTGTCCAGGAATTTTGGGGTAGAGTATGTGAGGATCTGTCAAAATGTCCGAAATGTCATATCCCAACCACCCCCTCTCTTTGTTTACTGGGAAACCTGGATGACCCGATTGAAACATCTTTGGCTCACGTGGTTCTGACTGCCATATGCATAACTAAGAAAACTATCCTCTTGAATTGGGAAAATAGATAAACTTTCTGCATTAACCAGTATAGAAATCTTTTGTTAGATCATATTACACTTGATCCAGCCTCTGCTTCCACTTCAAATCAGTCTCTCTGGGCTCCTTTGATCGGTTCCATCACATAGCGATGATGGGGGACCGTTGATGTTGTCCTGCTGGATGGTGTGTGTGTGTGTGTGTGGTGGTGGTGGTGGTGGTGGAGGGGGGGGGGGGGGGGGGTCTGAGTTTGGAGTATCCGGATGTTCCCTGGAGGTGGGTTCACTGGGGGTGTCTGGGACGGGAGGCCGTTGCCCCCCTCTGGAGGTGCTTGGGTTGCCTCGGGGGGTGGACTACTGGCGGTTGTGAGTGGGGCCCCTTGGAGGTGTTGGCGGCTGCCATGGGTCACTGCCTGGCAGCTGCATTGCCCCTGGGCGGGTCTGGGTGGGGGTCTGGGGGCTCGGGGTGTGGGAGTGGCCGGCCCCGTATGGGGATCTGGGCGGGGCCTTGGGGGTCGGGTCCTGACATGTATGCTGCCGGGAAGAAGGCAGGAACATGCAGCAGTGCCTGGCCCAGGTTCGGGGGCCTCGGGTAGACCTTGGCTCCTCTGCTGTCCTATCGCAGAGGAAGGGGAGGTCCAGGAGGGGGAGGACCCAACCTTACATGGATGTCCTATGTCTTATATATTCTGGAAGTTGTGCAAATGCAGGGATGGGCATAGATATTCTGCTGGGGTGGGGCTGGGTTGGTGTCCTCGGACTCCGTGAGGCTCTGTAATGCTGCTGCTTTGGGCCCTGGCAGGATGGCCTGGGGTCTCCATGCCCTGGGTGGCAATTTGACAACAGAGGTGCCTATTGGGGCCAGTGGGGGAGCTGGCTCCCTGGAGGGCTAAGCCCAACCAGCCATTCCTCCCCATCCCCGCATATTTCTCTCCTCCTGCTCCCTCACATCTTCACACAAACATGCACATAGGACCTTGGGGGGTGGACAAGTCAGGGAGTGCGGGTATGGACCCCATTTCCGCATTCCTGTGGCAACCTGCCCCCCAATTTTATTTGCCCCTTATACACTTCCACCGACGACATTCCACGTAAACACACACTTAGGGCCTTGGGAGTGAGCACATTCAACGGCACTTGGCAGGGGGATTTCTCAGCCTCCTCCCGAGTGCCGGTGCCCACTTACAATTTTAAACTATACTTAGACACCGAGGGTTGTGGGTGCAAGTGGGGTGGTGCGGTGGCATCAGCTGGCATAGGCCAGACAATGCCTGCACTGCCCGCTCACCACAGCCATGGAATACATTTCATCAACACACAACACTATATTGGAGCAGGCGGAGGGAGACTAGGGGTCTTAGCACACCTTTGTTGTTGCTTGGCTTCCTGGGGCTGGAGGCTAGGAGGGAGATCTGGCCGTCTGGTTGGGGTCTGGGGTGGTGGGTTGCTGTGCTCGGCGTTGGGCGGGGGAGCCTGCTCATCAGCACCCCAGCAGAAAGGGTCAAACTCTGGTAACCGGTGATGGTTGTTCCCAATGTGCAGCAGTACCGGGACCAGAGTGAATAGGGTGTGTATGGGGAGCATGAGTGGGTGTCCGGCGTGCATTTTTGTAAGTCTTTGGTTATATGTGCATGTGTGAGCATGAGGGAGGGAGTGTGTGACTGTGTTTGTGTATGACTGTATATGTCAGGTGGGGCCTTTGACTCCTCCCCTCTCCTGGGACTTCTTTTGATGATATAGATCTTCGTCTCCCCTCCCCTGCCACACCTGGTGTGGGGTGGGGTGCCTTGGTCTGCCTGAGTGCTTGTGGCTCCTGGGTCAGGGAGTTTAAGATTTTTGGCGTCTGCCTGATCAATCCCGGTGGCTGCCTGGTGGGGTCTGGGTCCCTGGGCTCTGCTGGGTCCCCGGCGGGGGTGGTTGCCCCTGGGTCCCGGGTTCAGCCAGCTAGGGAGTGGGAGGCTGCGGGCGGGCCTGAGGGCTTGCCGCTGATGTCTCCCAGGACTCTGCCGGCTGCTGGTTGTGGCCCCCCGGGGCAATCATCTGTGCCTCTCGAGGGGAGCGGGGGCCTTTCTAGTTGCAGTCTCCTTAGGGTTCCTGTGTTCTGGGGCAGCACCTGGATCTCTGGGACTTGGAGCTCCCCCCGTCTCCTACACATCTTTGGGGGGCAGATCTGTGATCCCTCACACTCTCTATTGGACGCTCCTATAGAGAAACCTTACATATACAAGCGCGTGTACACACACAGGTGCTCACATGGTGCTCTCATAAGTATGGGCTTGGGCACGTTCAACACAGGTCTTAAGACTAAGGTGGGCACTAAATGCACTGTGATTTATTATCGTGTGATTGTTCAGTAAAACAATTTTGATTATATATTTCTTCATCAAGTTGACGCAGTGATAGCTTGATCTTGTTGTATTGTTGTTGTGTCCCATATATTTTTTGTTTTTTTGCTTTTTTTCTTGTCTCTTTCTGCAGGTCTAGAAGCAGACTCTTGTTCATTATTGTTTATTTTTGTGGAACCCCCCCTTCCCCCCTCTCTCCCCACCTTTTGTCTTTTCCTTTCTCTTTCACCTCTGTCTCCGTGTCTGGTCGGAATTACAAAGCATTCAAAAACAACAACAATAAGGTTTTAAGTATCAGGCGTGACATTAAAAGCAGAAGCTTTGATGCTCCACCTGAGAGTAAATCTGTAAGGCTTGTCACCAGCATTCAGACATTAATTCTGTTTGCTTCACAGCCAGACAGGACACGGTAAAAAACAAACAACCAAAAAAAAAAAAGATTTCATTGACCCCAGCCTGAATAACCACAGAGAATTTGACTTTGGACTGGATGTGCATCAGACCAGCTTGGATAAGGATAAAAGGATTAAGAAGCTTTCCAAGAGTGTTAACCCAGATCAGCTCTATATCTGTTAACATCTTGCAGTTTATCTCTTACTCTTTTATCTCTTAAAGCCCCAAACAAACCTCATATCTCTCATTCCTGGATTCCTCTGGCCTTGCCCACTCCTGGAAACAATACTCACCTTGTCATTTACCTACAACCTTCTCCTAAGTGCTGGATCTCTGTCAGAGACTCAGCCCTGCAACAAGTACCAACAAGGATGAACAGAAGAAATCCACCTACTGAGCATAGCTATGATCTAATTATCCAGTGATTTGTTTTAGAGCGTTCTGTTGCAGAGCAGAGAAGAAGCTGTTAGGCTTCCTCCTCAATGACCTTTTAAATCTATCCTTGGTGTTTGGTGCTTTTATTGGGTCCGGCTATTAACTAGGTCACTGTGTTTTATACCAGTACAATTCCAGAAACATCCATGACTTAAGTAAACAACTCATCAGTGAGTTTTGTTTGTGGCTGACTGACCAGAACCAGAAGAAAATATGTTGAAATTTATACCAACATCTTGTTTTGGGTGTGCAGGAACGACGTGGATGCAGGAGGTCGTCCCTCTGATACTAAGTGGAGGAGATCCAGCTTCTGTTGAGACTCTGCATAACTGGGACCGTGTCCCCTGGCTGGAGGAAAAGCAGGCCCTGGTTCTGAACCTTGATGAGAGGCCATCTCCTCGCATGCTGACGACCCACTTCCACTATGACATGATGCCAGCTTCTTTCTTCAAAGTGAAGCCAAAGGTAAATCTGCCACTCTCTTTGTGTCAAGAAATTAGCTTTTGGACTGCTCTCAACCTCCCCAAAGTGTTCCTGAGAACTGGTTTCCTCTTAGAGAAACAAAAATTTTTACTCATGTTTCCTTATTTCATCAGGTGGTAATGTACATTTCCTTCCTCCCACAGTCAGATGACTCAAACCCACCTCGTCTTCAAGAACGTGTTTTATATTTAGGCCGCTCAGTTGGAGTCAGGAAAAGACAGATTGAGCATTTATTTTAACCAGCAATTAATTTGTAAACTAAAGACAAAACAGACACCGGAACATGCACACGGCGAGGGGTTCACTGGAGATTTTGACAAGAAAATACAAGTTGTGGCCGCATTTTCTTTTTTTCTTTTTTTTTCCCCGTGTCCTGTCTGGCTGTGAAGCAAACAGAATTGATGTCTGAATGCTGGTGACAAGCCTTACAGATTTACTCTCAGGTGGAGCATCAAAGCGTCTGCTTTTAATGTCACGCCTGAAACTTAAAACTTTATTGTTATTGTTTTTGAATGCTTTTTAATTCCGACTAGACACGGAGACAGAGGTGAAAGAGAAAGCAATAGACAAAAGGAGGGGGGGGGGGGGTCCACAAAGATAAACAATAATGAACAAGAGTCTGCTTCTAGACCTGCAGAAACAGAAAGAATAGAAAAAAAGGGACACACAACAATACATCAGGAGCAAGCTATCACTGCAACAACCTGATGAGGAAATATAAAATCAACATTGTTTTACTGAACAATCACATGATAATAAATCGCAGTGCATTTAGTGGCAACCACAGCCTTAAGACCTGTGTTGAATGCGCCCAAGCCCATACTTATGAGAGCACCATGTGAGCACCTGTGTGTGTACACGCGCTTGTTTATGTAAGGTTTATCTATAGGAGCGTCGAATAGAGTGTGAGGGATCACAGATCTGCCCCCCAAAGATGTGTAGGAGACGGACGGAGCTCCAAGTCCCAGAGATCCAGGCGCTGCCCCAGAACACAGGAACCCCAAGGAGACTGCAACTAGAAAGACCCCCCTCAAGGCCCTCCTCGAGAGGCACAGAGGGTCACCCCGGGGGGGCCACAACCAGCAGCCGGCAGAGTCCCGGGAGATATCATCGGCAAGCCCACAGGCCCGCCCGCAGCCTCCCACCCCCTAGCCGGCCGAGCCCGGGACCCAGCGACCCGGGACCCAGGGGCGACCACCCCCACCGGGGACCCAGCAGAGGGTCCCCGGACTGGGGTAGTCCCCCCCCCCCCAGTGGGCGTTCAAACTATACGAGGTGGTGGTGAAAGTTTCTTGCCACTGAAGGGGGCTCTGAGATGCTAATGGTGGGCGCTAGCGATACAGGACATTCATAACAGACAATGGCTCAGAATAAAAAGAAGTGTTAACAGTACAATGTGGACTACCTTCGGTATGGATTTATTCCTTCACCCACGAATCCACAACTCCCCATGTGCCTGCTTTGTGAACAAGTTTTTTCAAACGAAGCAATGAAACCCTACCGGCTTAAGAGCTCTTGTCCAAAATGCGTCCAGACAAAGCTTCAAAGGAACTGAACTATTTTCAGGTAGTTAAAGAGACACTCAAGAGAGGTACCATTAGCAGTATGTTTGCTACAAGCTGAATTTAGTCGACCGAGGATTATTAGCTTCCTACAATATCTCGTTGCTAATAGCTAAACGTGGGCTACTGTTCACAGCTGGGGAAATGCTAGTGCTTCCAGCAGTGAAAGAGGCTGTCTCTACAGTCATGGAACAGGACTCGTCAGCAGTGGTAAACACAATTCCACTTAGCGATGACACTGTGGCACGAAGGATAAAAGAAATGTCAGTTGATACTGAGGAGCAGCTCAGTCAATCGTTTCAGCATTCAGCTGGATGAGACCACAACAGAGGACAATAACGCTTTATTAATGGCTTATGTACGCTATGTATCAGACTGTGGAGTGCCCGAGGAGTTTTTGTTTGGAAAGTATCTCACAACTGACACACGATGTACCTGACTGGATTCTGGAGCCTTTTCAGTTGGATGTATTTGAAAAGGAACCCATAGTCCAGGAGCATTTCATTGACTTACAAAATGATGAGGAGGCACAAGCTACATTTTCACATCTGTCTTGCAAGTGATGTGGACTATGCATGGCCATCGTTTTCCTTCATTGTGGGGAAAAAGCCCAGCTTCTGCTCCTAGCTTTTCCCGCTTCTTATCTTGTTGAAGAGGGATTCAGCCAGGTACTGTACATGCAATCAAAATACCAAAACCGGCTAAATCTGATAGCCTCAGGTGCACTCTGGCTCAAGTTAACATCTCTCAATCCATCCATAAAAACACTTACATAAAATCACCAGGGACAAGGGTCTACTCTGCTCTAAGCAATTTTTGATGATACTTTTTTTTATGACAAATTTGTATTAAACAGTTTTAAACTCAAGGCTGAATTGTTTATTTTCTTTAATTAGGATTTTTGTATCAAAAAACTTTCCATGTCTCTGCATGGGGCATTGGTGGGCAGTAAGGGATTTCAGCATGACTTAGGGCGGCGTTTAACTGAAAAAGGTTGAGAAACCCTGTTCTATACTATCTATCATGATCTCAAAATTAACCAGTAACTGATCTGTTCTATTGACGCCATGTTTGTTTTGGTTGTATCCATCGACATATATATACTGGACAATTCATTTCCATAGGCTCCAATAACACGTTTTTGAGGCTAAATGGGAGGTGGCCACCACCGCCATTTTGACCGTGTCACAGGTTCCGTCAAGCCCAGACAATTCCACAACAGGGAAGAGAGGTGGAGCTTAGGGTGGAGCTGTAAGGCTGGGATCAACTGACGACACCCGGTCGAACTAGCTACAAGCTAACCTGAAGCTAACCCAAAGCTAACGTGGAGGTGGAAGCTAAGCTAACGGAGGTAGCAACCTAGCTACAACCGGAGTTAACTGTGCATAACACCAGAGCTTCTGAGTCAGAGATACGCTGGGCTGACCGCTGGGTAAAACCGGGTGGAAAACATTGGTCTCCCGAGAGCTCCACAAACCGATAGTCGGAACCCAGCTCCACCAACATGTTATATTTCAACCCATTTTCTAAAGTGCAGCATTATGTTAAATGCACTGGGTTTTACCCTATTACATTTAAATTTCATGGTTAAACAGTACATGTTAAAATCTAAGCTCAGCTCGGCAGTGACCTAAAATACATAAATATAATTTTACTTACCGAAAAAAATGAAGTGGAGACTCCTTGGACACTCTATTAGTGCAATTAATGCCACAGCAAGTCATTTTGTCCAACAATTGCACAAATAATATCCAAAACAGAATACACAAACACAGAGACTCAAAATCCCGGAACAGTTTCCAGGCCAGACCGAGGCTCTACTGAGGCCTTTCCATGGAGCTAGCTCTGTGGTCACGTGGGTCTGATGCTCATTAATTATACAGAATTTTAGGCTTTTAATACACTTAAACAGAAGAGTGAGAAAAAAATTCACCCCCCTCAGAGTTGTCATGAGTGTAAACTAGATCATTTAAACCAAAAACATGTTTTGGTACCAGGCTGTAAACATGTTTATTTCTGCTGTGAAATTGGTATTTTTAACATGGGAGTCAATGAGGATTTGCTCGCTTCTGACACCAGCCCCCAGCGGATGAGGGTGGAACTGCAATTTTGGGTACTTCCGGGTTGGCCTCAATTTTTGAGCCACATTGTGGGGGCTTGGTTGTATCCCACAAATCTGACTTTATATATCCAGCCTGAGTGCGTCACTGCGCCCCTAGTGGATTCCTTCAGTACTACATGCAGCAGCAAGTATGTAAACAAAGGTTTCCTGCGCCGACGCGAGGTTGGAAAGCAAGTATATTGTGGCCCTTAGACAGTCATTTTGAAAAATCCAAAGCGGTGCCTGAACAGTGAAATTTCTAATAAAAGTGAGACAAGTATGGTGCTAACTGATTTTAACATAGCAAGACATCACGTTCAAATTTGGTGGCGAAGCAACACGTTTCCAACAATTGATGTTCAGGCCAGATTGACAGTGACCTAATCAGTGAACACAAAACCACTTTGGTCACATAAACATGCTAACTAGGGTAATCATTGACCATAAACCTAAAAGGAAATTCAACGTTTTCATGAGTTTCTGACATCCTGTAATCTCTGTAGGTGATCTACGTCATGAGGAACCCCAAAGATGTGTTCACGTCTTCCTTTCACTACTTCAGCAGCACATCCTTCCTTGTGAAACCAGGCCCGCAGAGCGAGTTCCTCCACAAGTTCCTTGATGGAAAAGGTCTGTTACTTTACTGTATCGTTAACCCTGGGGTTAGTTATAATTTGACTATTTCACTGCCGATTCACTGGTCTACTCTATTGTGGTAAAGTTCCCAGTCATGACTAATTAGGTTGTCGTGGAATATTTACCACAGATTCTCAGTGAGTTGGGAAAAGCTATCAACATTTCACATTTTAAGCAGACTGCAGACATCATTTGATAGCAACAGGTGGCAGAGTTGTGCTGATTGGTAGGGAACAAAACTTAGTACAGCTATCTTGCACCATTCTGGGTCCTGGTAAGAGTTTTATCACCGGTCTGCCCACTCTAACAAGAACGTTTTCATTGTAATCAACAGTTTTTCTAAGATGGCTAGAGTGGATAGCCTCCTCCTCTGTTTAATTCTGCAGATAGAAAGAGTCTGGGAACTATCCTATTCAAATAACCCCACCCCTTGAGACTTTTAACCGAGCCAATCAGCGCTGAGTAGCGTATGTCACACACCACAACGCTGAGTTTGTCGAACATGGCGACCGAAGAGGAGGTCGGTGCGGCTCTTTCTTTACTTGAATGTCTTTAAAACCACAAGAAGTAGAAGCGCTAAAAGTCTTTCTGCAGTAGCATCATGAAGGGACTGTTTTCCTTTCTCCTCAGGAAGAACTTATCTCCTTGAGATATGGCTCAAGGCCTTTTGATGCCTCTGCATCTAAACTGTCTTAACTAGCTATTTGCCTCACCCTACAGCTCAAGAGAAGAAAGAAGACCAAGAACTCTTTTCTCTATTGAATAATGATCAAATAACTTTGTTAGTCCAAATAATCATGTAAAGCTCAATGTTAAATCAATCTGTGAAATGAGAATATTAATTACCTGATATTATAATCCTATGATAGTATTTTAATAAGTAACATAACTTTAAACTACACACTAGACTGATCACACGTAATGTTAAGGTCACATGACACATTCCTTTGTCTCTCCAATCAGAGCTTTCCTTTCTGACGTGCGGCATAATCTGTGCGGTGTTTATTTTTGTGTCCAATTCTGATTCGACCATAAATCAAAACATCTGGATTATAAAACTAACTCCCACGTCACCCTTAGCTCAGTTCAAACGTTCTAGAGTTGCGAGCCGGCCACTCGTAACTTTTTAACCACAAAGAACCTAACGACAAGCTGGAAAATAAACCTGTTGCAAGCTCCACCTGACGCAATGCTCCTTCAGAGTAAAAGCTGAACTCACTGAACCTTCAGGGTCCCGCTGACGCTGTCAAACAACTGTCGCTTACCTGGAGGCAATCCCAAGACTAGTCTGTCGTACCGTACGCTGTTTCATTGGCTCCGGTACCAAAGGGGGGTCAGAGAACCTGACATTCTGGATCTAAACGGAGGTCTCCACCAAGGGTATGTAGCTTGGCAAGATGGCGTCTGAAAGTGGTTTTTGAAACTCCGACTGTAGTTTAGAGAAAAACATTCACTCCCACACAGAACTAATGCTTCTCTGGAAACAAGAGTTCTGCAATATTCCACATTACACCCTCCATTTTGCCTCATTCACAACCTAGATCCATTCATCACACAGAGTGTTTAGAGTTAGTTAGCCTTGTTTTAAATTGTTTAGAAATAAATCTCCTTAAACTTTAAAACTTGTCTCTCTCTCTTTTGACTCTGGGTTATTTCGAAGTGTTGCCTAATCCCTGCAATAAAAAGTACCAATCTTCTGTTTACAGGTGGTATTCAAAGATACGTCAAATTGATTCCATATTTTCTATGGAATCTCACCTTTGATGGTTTCCTACATAAGATGTAACTATTGATCCACTACACTGCTAAAAAATTTAAATATGTTTTTGCTGTTGCCAGACGCCTTTTTTCTACTACAGCTAAAAACCTACACCGTCGCTCGGTACAGCCAGGATTTCCGTCTTTTTTCTGATTGGTTATATTTGAGCTGGCTAGTACCGCCCCTCAAGTGCTTCTCTGCCTTTGAGTTACGAGACTCTTTCTCTAATACCAGCATCAATTTTTGCCCACCGGAGTCTCTGAGGGTGGTGCCAACGCCACTGACTGTCTCTATTATTCCCGAGAACGTGGCCTTCATTCGCAGGTTGACTGGGAGGTCAATGGGTCCAAGGAGCACTCTTGTGTCTGGGTGTCCCGTATCCTAGACAAGGATCTCATCCAGGACCTTCACCCCTGATCTGCACTGGCAGAACCTACCTTGCCTCTGACCAGGTATTGACCCTGCTTTCTCTTCCACAGTTATATTCGGCTCCTGGTTTGATCACGTGAAAAGCTGGTTGAATGCTGAGGATAAGCAGCACATATTTTACATCTCGTATGAGGAGATGACAAAGGTGAGAGAAGAAGTCACAGTCAGATAGGAACCACAATCTGAAGATGAGCTGAGATGTGTGTGTCTCTGCTACAGGACCTGAAGGACTCTGTGACCAGAATCGCTGGGTTTCTGGAGAAACCGTTGGATGCTGAGGTGATAGAGTCAATCACAAACAGATGTTTGTTTAAGAACATGAAGAAGAACAAAATGTCCAACTACTCTGCGGTTCCTTCAGAATTTATGGATCAGACCAAGTCGGAATTCCTCAGAAAAGGTGTGTTTATGTGAATGACCTAAAGAGTGTGTGAGGATCTCAGTAGGAGGAGAATAAAGTCCAGTTAACTGAGCCAATAGCAAATCCCTGAATGAGTTTATGGATATGAATAAAACTGGTTTGAAGACAAACTGTCTACCACTAATGCTGCACTTGTCCTGTGTTTTATTTCAGGAGTAGCCGGAGACTGGAAAAACCAGCTTACGGTGGCTGAGGCAGAGCGCTTTGATGCTGTCTACAAAGAAAAAATGAAGGATGTAGAATATACATTTGTGTGGGATTAAATGGCTAAAACCAGCGCGTGTCAGTCCTAAAGACTGCACGTAGATGTGATCTACATCCATTATAATACTTTGAATATGATATAAAACATGATCATTCTTTAAAAGTGATTTAAACCTTAGATTTAAGCCAGTTCAGCCCACATGGGTCCCAGCTCCCACCCGGCTTCCATCACACTTAGTCAGGATGGTGGGCCCAGATGACCTCCTGTAACCTTTTATAACTCCAGATATTTGTCAGTTAGCTTCCCCGTGGCCTTTGAGTGAATCAGAATCAACTTGATTGTCATTGCTTGAGCGTCTTGAAGCAAAGTTGTCTCTGGAGCACAGCCTGGCCAAGACTAAACAAACACAAACATATACAGGCAGACCACGAGAGCAGCCGTCAAGGCGCTCATTAGACAGAAAATGATTACATGAGGATAAGAGGGGGGTAGGGGTGGGGGGGCATTTCAGAGTAATCCCCGACAGGGGGTAGCCTCGCTATGCTAAAACACACCTCAACATACAAACAAGCACAGAACTTCAGACGGTTCACAGACACGAGTCTCCGAGAAGTAGGGGGGAGGGGCTGAGAAACCTCCTTGCTTCAAAGAGCTGCAGCATCAGTGGAGGGGAGGGGTGGAGGATGACTCCCAGACAGTTCCATCACCTTCACCAGGTCACAGTTCCAACCAGGCTGGGAGGAGGAGAAGGTTTCACAGTGTCTGTCCACATTTCCTCTGTGGGGAATTTTCAGCCTCAAGGGCACCAGATTCAGATGAGATGATGTGTTTACATTAAATTTCCTCTATGCTTACAGTTCAGTTGGTCTCAAACCCTCCAAACAGCCAAATAACAGTGTTTAAACTATTCCACACCATCAAGGGACCACTTTCTCCATGATGACATCCATTTTTTATGTCAAAGTTGGAATCGCAGCCAGAGTCTCTAGCTTGCGATTCAAAGCTCCTTAAATTTCCAGTATACCAGTTAACCGCCCACGCCAAAAAGCACAAATCCGAAAATGATCAGTCCAAGAACCCATACATCTTTGGTATCCTCAATGGAAAGCTTTCTTCCAGGAATCCAACATATGCCCGACCAGGTGCGTTCCATCTGGACATGTAGGAGCCCCCTCCTTCAATCTCATTGTCAAAAAGATGTTGTCAGTCACGTTGAAAGACCAACTGACCAGATCCATATTTGAAAAAATTTCCATTGCAGGTGAGTTATCCCTCAGGGAGGTCTCTGAATTGCTTTTGGTCTGACTTTTCCCCCAAAATAAGTGGAAGGCTTCCATCAGGTTGGAATTATTTATCTTAAGCCAAGTTATGTCCAATCCTGATTGTCCAGGGCCACCATCTGGTCCATGTTTGATGTTTCTCTGCGTCAGCAGACTTCTGCAGAGCTTGATGAGCTCAGAACAGGTGATTCAACCATTGAATATGGTGTGCTTGAGCAGATAAACAACTACATGCCAGATAGAGACCTCCAGGACCAGCGTTGGGGAGCCCTGCCTATAAGGCATGGTAGTGTCTTGTTCCTAAGTGATGGTAGGACACACAAACCGCTGGACCAGAGCTTCATTGGAGGTTGTTAATGAGGGTGTTGCCGTAGTTGTTTTGAGCTGAGCCAACTGTCAAAGCTGTGGATTCACTGGTCCATCTTCATCCAAACCCTACGCTCATGACATGAAGAATGAGACCCCAGATATAAGAGGCCTTCATTTGGAAACCTGGACCATTGACCTGTTGTTGCAAGCTTGCCACAAAGTGTATTGTAAATTTTCAGACCTATTTAAAAATCCAGCAACCTGAGGACAGGGCCCAGCTACTGCCAGGAGGAGTTTGAAAATGCCGGTGAACATTTCAGACACTTCATTAGCGATAGTCACCAACGGTCACCACCTGGTGAGAGGAGTGCTGGTCTGAAAGCCTAAAGCTTCCAATAATAATCATAATGATAAAAGACTTTCCTCGTCTAAAATAGAACCTGAGATTTCTCAGCATTTATTTGTTTTCATTCCCTGTTGTTTTTGCTGCCAGCAGTACGTTAAACTGTAGAATGATGTGCTAAGTTGTCTAACTTCCCTCCGATGATTGAAGTTTTCACACGTAGAAATGCAGACTGGGGTTTCTCTGGCTGCTGCTGTTGTGTTGGAGGCTCCCTCACACACATCACATCTTTACAAATAAGCATTTTTATTGTTACTACGAACGCATCACTTGGAATTGACTTTGATTAAAACTCAAATAAAAGTATCTTTCTGTATTTGGATTTGAACTTTTACCTCTAAATGTCTGGGTGTCTGGGTGGTGTCAGGGGCTCGTGGCCAGATTATATTTACATATATAGAAGGGCTACTCTAGATCAGTACATGTGTAAAAACATAGGGCATAAATAGAGGCTGTTGCCATGGTAGCAAATGTCTGATGGGGATTTAAATATTGGGGTGGACTAAATGAGATCCAGTTGGCATGTGTACTGGGTTGAGCTTTGATCAGGAACATGAATACCTACCAAAGTGAAAGAACATCAGTACGCCGCGCTGGTCACTCAGAGAGACCGCCACTGGAAGAATGTTTTGTAAATGCAGGTTAGTCAGTTATCTCATGAAGCACTCTGGATAAATTCTAATGAGACTTGGATGTCCACTGTTACCTCAACATGAGGGTCACCACCACCTAACCTCAGCACCCAGGCAGGATCCAACTGGGTCTGGTCTACAGTGAGTGTTGCTCTAAACTTTGAGTCAACTGTTTAAGTATCAGAAACCACTTTAAAGTAAACGTTCATAAAGTACACAGTGTGTGTACTTTTACTACATTGTAGTCAGTCACTGCTAATCCCCCCAGCTAACACACATGTGAATGACTTTGTTAACCTAGCAGCTGTTGAGCCAATATTTGATGCTGAAGAGTGAAAACTCTAGTATGTAACATGGACTCATTAGGATGGCTTTTCACCAAGTGTCGGTTCTTTATTTTCCTGTGAGACCTGTAGCCTCATGCATCTGGTTTAGTCGCTGACTCGTGAGGAAGTTCTCTCTAGATCTGTGTAGCGTGATGAATTGTCCGTTTCTGACCTAAAAGGCCCTGCTCCATTTGCTCTGCCCAAGCAGAAACACAAATTTCTGACACAAGCCTAATCTACAAGATATGGGCCAAGGCCACTCACGCTTTGTGCTCTTATCTAAACTGTTGCTTCCTCGGACAGCACAAGAAAGAAGACGAAGAACTATTTCTCTTTAAATAATAATCAAATAACTTTGTTAGTCCAAATAATCATGTGAAGCTCGATGTTCAATCAATCTGTGAAATGAGAATATTATTTACTTGATATTATAATCCTATTATAATCCTATGATAGTATATAGTAAGTAATATAACTTTAAATATTTACACTAGACTGATCCCACGTAATGTTAAAATCACATGACACATTTCCTTTCCAATCAGAACCTTCCAGAGCTGACGCGAGGCGTGGTTTTGTTGGTGCTTGTGTAATCTATTTTTGTTGTCAAAGTCCGATTCGACAGTAAATCAAAACATCCAAATTATAAAACTATGCCCCATGTCATCTTAACTTGAGTTCCAAGCGTTCTAGAGAAGTTATCGGAGTGGCCAATCCGTAACTTTCCTCTTAAAGCCAAAAGATCCCAACAACAAGCTGGATTAAATCTGTTGCATGTTTCACCTGCTGCAACGGTTCCTTCAGAATAAAAGCTGAACCCTCACGGCCCCTTCAGGGTCTCGCTGATGCCAATAAACTGTCTTGACCTGGGAGTATCTCAAGACTGGAAGGGTCGGCAACTGCTGCATTTCTACAGGCGTTGGTTCCAAGAGGGTCCAGCTGGACCCCCGACATTCCGGATCCAAACGGGGACTTCCGTTGGGATACGTAGACCGACAGATGGCGTCTCAATGTGTGTTATAATCTCCAACCAAAAACTTAGAGCGAAACACCATTTTACTCCCACTCAGAACTAATCGTTTCTCCCAATTTGCTGGTTCTGAACATATTTCACACACACACACCATCCTCAGTCTTAATCCACTTTAGTTCATCATCACATAAATCTTTTAACTTTTAAACCTGACTCTCTCTCTTTCTTGGAATTGATACGAAGTGTTGCTCAATCCCTGCAATAAAAAGATCCGATCTTCTGGTTAAATTTACTCAAAGATCCATTAAGGTGATATTTCATATTTTATGATATTTCACATTCTATGGTCCCTAATTAAATGTAAGAACATCTTCTCTACATATTTGGTGAGCCATTGCCAGTTATTTGTGCAGTGTGACACTTCGTGTTGATTCTAAGATCATTTTAATTAAATAAACACTTAAAATCCATCAAAGATGATGTTCTTGGTGGGAAACGATGATCTTGTTACCCGTCACTAGAGAGCAGTCGACCTCCATCTAAGTCGGGGGGGGGGGGGGGGGGGGGGGGGGGGGGGGGGTGACGCCAGGAAGTCACCACTGACAGGAGGCGCTGATTCCTCTCAAATCACACAAGTCTGAGTCATCACAACAAAATGGAGTTATTATAACCACACACAGCTTATCTGCACCAGGTTTGTCCTGCTGCCATTTCATGTCATTTAATCTGTGTGATTCTGTCACGTAGTGATGGGTAGATGAAGCCTCATGAAGCGTTTCAGCACATTCCCCAAATAGTATTGATACTGTGACAGTGCTGCTGTTTTGCTCTATAATGGCACCTACTGGACTTTAAATATCATTGCAGGCAACTTACTGGAGACTCACAACAGACACTGATCCACAGGGCACAGAAGAAGCGGGGGTACACAAAAACAGTAAAGCCAGGTGGAAAAGGTTTGGGTAGGATGTCTTCCGGTTCCCCCAGTATGTTAAGAGATTCTCTGGTCTTGAAATGTTTCCCTCTGCTAAGTAGCGCTGGACCTCAATGATAGTCAGCTGTTGCATTGGTGGTTTGTCTGCCAGCCTCTCGATCAAGCTGCTGCCACAGATTATCTAAAATAAAACTACATAGAAGTTTTAGTTTTTGTCTTCTATTCTGTATTAATACACATTAGCAATGAAACAAATGTGAAAATAAGCTGATAACTCTGAACAACTTGCCTGAAGTGGGTAACTGCTCTGATGAAGGTCCAGGCTGTGGCTCAGATTTTGTGCGAGCAATTACTGCAGCACACTCCATTTTCAGGCGATTGACAGCCTCACTACACTTGGAGGAACTACGAAATCCGAGTGTTTTAAATGTGGGGTCTAAAAGCGTTGATAGGGTTAACACACTTGATGACTCCAGGTTAGAAGCAGTGTCTGTGACGTGACGTCTAAGCTGGTCATGGAGATGTGTGACTGCTTGTGTGTGTAGATGTAGAGTTCCGCTCAAGTGCACAATTTAGCATTTTCATCATCGGGATGACCTTTGATCCTGAAACTCTCCTCTCCTCAGACAACTCCACTGTGGCCTGATGGAAAGGGGCCAGCACAAGAAGTGCTTCCCTCAAGATGTTGAACTCATCAGCTGTGAGTGGAGGTAAATCTGTTTGGAGAGGCAAGAGATACCCACACTGCTTCTCTCTCATCATGTAGCCGTGACAGCATCTGATATGTGCTGTTCCAACATGTTGGTACCTCATTGACAAGTTTCAAGGTGGGCCGTCCCATCTGTTGCTGCACTTGAGCAAGCTTCTCTTTTGCTCTGGTGCTGGATCTGAAGAATGATACGATCTGCCTAGATCTGTGTCTTATGGATGAAAGTTCAGGGATCTGATCACAGGATTTTTTGACTATTAAATTTAGTTTGTGTGCAATGCAGATTGAATGTCTAATTTGAAGAGTTCGTGTTGCTGCTATCATGTTTGGTGCTGCGTCGGTCATCAGACACCTTACCTTATTTGTTATGGCCCAGTCATCCATCATGCCCCTTTTGACTTGGGCCAGATGGTCAGCAGTGTGACTTTGTGGAAAGTGTTTGACTCCCAACACAGATGTACACAACTGCATATTATCACTGATGTAGTGACAGGTAAGAGCTAAGTAAGCCTCCATGTTCACGGAGGTCCACATGTCAGCTGTTATACTCGCTGCCACAGCTTGCTGTACTCCCCTTTTTACTCGTTCGAGTTCCTCCACATGTTTTTTGGCCATCATTTCCTTAACCGTCTGAAAATGAATCAAAGTCAAATCAGTCTAGTACTTAACACATTTATTAGACCACCTGTCATTAAAACAAGAGAAACATCCAGCTATAAAGTTCTCTGTGTTTTGCCCAGTTGAATAGAAGGTAGGAATTTAAAACTGAATCCAGTTTTATACCCAAATGTGAGCTGACACACTGGACGGAAATTATTCAAGCATGCATGATATTTGAATCACAAGTGTTTATTTTGTTTGCTGTGTCATAAACCTTAAATCAGACGATGGTCTAATACATTTGTTAAGCACGGTATATATTACATGAGTAACAGCAGCTATCTGAGACATTGTGTATACAAACCTGTCTGGTTGGCAAAACGTCAGGGCGAGAGTGACTGAGGCCTAGTCCACACGTAGCCGGGGTTTTTGAAAACGAATATCCACCCCTCCAAAAACTTGCATCCACACCACCTCGTTTTAAAAACAAACTCTGTCCACACGTACCCGGATAAATACGTTGTTAAGGACATGCCAGACCTGTAGGCGGCAGTACTTCCCCCGTTCTTAACCTCGTTCTTCGTCTGTGGTCTTCCGCAAGGAGCAGTAATTCCTCTTGCAAAAACAAACAAGCAAACAGCGCTTGGACAATTGATGGATCGGGTAGTGACAGAGCACAGCTCTGAGGGCTTCCATGATGAAACACAGGTCGCACACGTGATGTCAGCTTTTTTTGTCGCGGAAAGTGACGTTGTGGACCTTAAAACTCCGGTTTTGTCTGTCCACACGCAGACACCCAAAACGGAGAAAACGCAGATCTTCACTTTGGCCGGAGTTTTTAAAAAGATCCGTTTTCGTGTGAAAAAACTCCGTTTTCGTGTGGATGACAGGCCAAAACGTAGAAAAATATCTACGTTTTGGCAGATCCCCGGCTACGTGTGGACAGGGCCCGAATCATTGTGGGCACAGGGAAATGAAAACAACCACCCCTGGTTAATGTTTAAACAAAAGAGGAACGGTATGATGAGGTGACCACCATTCTCTCATGGCCTTCTTGTCTGAGGTTTGGATTCAGCAGCAGCAAAGTTGTTAACATACAATAAAACTTTATTTGTTCAAATACAAAGAACTTTTATTACATTTAACCCGTAAGCACATTCTACGGTGACACTGACTCTGCATCACTTCTGCTTGCTCTCAGCACATCTGGAGCAACAAGCAGATCAGATATAAATCATAAGAATGTCTTACATCCGAAAGCCAACAGAGGGAGCACTTCCTTCCATTTTTAAGGTGTGGATCATCGTTTAATCAGTACATTTGCAGAGGTCTCTAGCAGGAGTTTAATCAGTATATTTGCAGAGGTCTCTAGTAGGAGTTTAATCAGTACATTTGCAGAGGTCTCTAGTAGGAGTTTAATCAGTACATTTGCAGAGGTCTCTAGCAGGAGTTTAATCAGTACATTTGCAGAGGTCTCTAGTAGGAATGCCTTGTAATTCATAATCTGGGGACAAAAAGCTCCGGTGCGCCTGTTTCAGAATCTAGCAGCATGCCACATGAGAGTTTCAGATGGCAGGATTTAGAGTCCTTTTTCCTGATATTTGGACATCTCTCCTCTGATTGGCTAACAGCAACACCGCTCAACCACTGACTCTGTCTGCTCTGCAACGTTGATGATTTCTCTCCACAAATAACACAACCCTAAAGGAGTTCTGCTGTGTGGTGGAGTTGCGAATGCTAACAGTTAGCTTCCACTAGCCGAGACATTCTCTGCTGTTCCCTGGACGCTAAGCAAACAACAGGCTTTCCTCTCGTGAGTCAAGATGGGTGAGTCCATGAATGTTAAGTGACAGTGTGACATAGATCTGTCAGGATTTTCTATCCTAGACTTTCACCGTCTTGTTTCTATCAGCAGCTAATGCAGGAGATGGGTGTGGGAGACTTTCCATGTTCAGCCTGGATGTTAATCCCATTGTGATCAGTGTAGCGTCATGAATGGCCTCATAGTTGTGACCCAAAGGTCACACTTTCCCAGCTGGGTCAAGCTGGGTCGAGCTGTAACTTTGTCCCACAGATTACCAGTCAGGAGCCGTGATGTCTGCAAAACACCGTCTTTATCTGCTGTTGTCCTGTCCCAAGATGAAGGACACTTCAAGATTTTAAAATAATAATTTTAAAATAATAATTTCATAAACTGTTTTACTGTTTATTACAATCATCATAAATAATCATCATGGTTCATTATGAATGTATTTTAATTACTGAAATGACTTATTATTCTTTGGGTTAGTAATAATTATTATTCATGATAATCAGTAATGTGAGATCATCAACCAGAAGGTCATTTGCACGTGTACACACCATGCAGAGGGTGAATCCAGGGTAAAGGTTAGGGTTAGGGCGTGTTCTGAGGTCTTGTTAAAACCAAATCTCCGCAGCTGAAAGTCAGTTCTTGAACCCACCAGAGGACGAGGGTCGGCCGCCCAAGCCTCACTAAGCATTCTGTCACGCCGATAGAATTGCTCAGAATAGACGCGCCTGTTTCCAGCTGACGCAAAACTCCTTCAGAGTTATTGATTTTGAGACGCAAATAGTTTCACCAGTCATGTGACCCACGGAGACATCTCAGGACCGATTTGAGACGCACCGAGGTCTCTCTACCAACCTCGTGCCCGGAGGAAACGATCTCCCTGACATCTCGGATCCACGGAGGGTCTCCTGAACTGGATGAGGTAGACATTGTCCAACAGATGGCGTCCGATGCTGTTCTCTCTAAGAAACAACTGAATTAGCTGCAAAACAACTTTCCACTCAGAACGCTTCTCTCTCTCTGAAAGAAACCTTCTGAGATTCATTCACGCATCCAAAACCTCGCATTCCACCTTAGTTTTCCATCCAGACACAGGTTTGTTTAATAACAAGTTTTAATATCAAGCTGTTACAAATTGTCATTTCAAGTTGTCATTTTTAAAAGTGTTAGTAATAAATTCTTAACTGTTTAAAACCTGACTCTTCTTTGAATGAAACACAGAATGGTGTATATATTTGGTTATTGAATGAGCAAAGATTCCTAACTTCTGATTCAATAAATAAACTTTTGCTATTAAATTTAATTATCTTAAATTAACCATTAATCTTTAGATTAAAATATAGACCAAGACAGTTAGTGTATGAACTTCTATCAATTGCATTAATATCCTAGATATTTGTGCATAATATAAGATAATATGCTAATGTCCGATCTTTTCTCAGGATCTAACCAAACTGAAGCAAACAGTGTTAAATCCTAGTATGTAGATGTTAACCACGCTACATCAGAAATAATCCGATAAAAGGATTTTTCAGTGTTCTGCACCTTTAAACAGAAGATGGCTTTACTCTCCGGTCTCGTCGGAATGTGTCGCTCATCTTCAACCACTGCAGTGGAACGCAGGAGTTTCAGTGAAACGAGAGCACAAAGCCATTTCTCTCTCTGATGTCACACCCTCTGTCATTGTCCTGAGTCTGTCAGGGTCAGACTGCTCTGCTGATCCACGTGGACTCCTGGTGCTGATCCAGTCTTTCACCCACAGATAAATTACATCAGAGTTGTCATTCACCCATCAGTCACATTGATTAAAGGCTGCATGATGGGCAGAAAGGAGGTGAGGTGGGTGGAGTTTCTGTCTCAGGTGAACTGCAAAGGCTGAACCCTTGAGGCCTGATATTTTGGCTTTCCACAGCAACAGTGCATGCAGCCGATCACGATCATGAAGAGGAAAGCACCTGAAAAATGAACAGGGGTAGAATTAGGAGGAGCTGGGCTCGGTACAGCTGGACTGTTTTGAATCGTGTGTAAAGCCTCCACATACAAACACTGGTGTCCATGTGTGATGAGAGAATTACATCTAGCCTTTACAACAGTCATTCATCCATTCACACACACACGTCCATGCACTGATGGTGATTGTAGCCACTGTCTTGGGACACCACTGGCCCCTCTCACCACCACCAGCAGGTTAGGAGGGTGAAGTGTCTTGCACAAAGACACAACTGTGACAGACGGAGCGGGGCTCGAATCTACAACCCTCGGGTTACGGGGCAGGCACTTGACTCCTCTGCAACCATTGCAGGGAAGACTTCAAACACATACGGTAGAAAAGAGTGTCATATTCACAAGACTTTGTAACGTCCAGCAATGGTCAGTTTTTAGGTACAGTTTGACCATTCAACATCTGGTCAAAAAGGAGACACGAGACTGCATGTGGTCACTTTAAATTGGCCTGCCTTCATCCCACCAGCTGGAGCTCAGAGCCTGCAGCTCTGAACACATGATAACGTAATGTCTACAATAATGTTCTCTCCTCAAGGTCCAGCTTCCCTTATCGTCCTACAGGATTCTTCATGCCTTCCAATAAGTGAACACTCACAGTTCGGATCAGGTGCTAAATCCAAGAATGATTTCCTAAATTAAATATGAACTTCAACAATTTATAAGCTAGATAATCATTAAATAAACGTTTGTTTATTGCTACTTATAATAATTATAATATAATGAAATGCTTTCATTAATCTGTGCTCAATGATTGAAGTGTGAAATGAATGTTATGTTATGATTACAGTGATTGAAATATGTTTCAGCATGTTTATACGACAAGGTCATCACCATTTGCACTCACACAAGAACAAAGTAAGGTTAAGTTAAACTCATGACACATAGATAGCCCTTTACCCCAGATCAGAGCCTCCGGTATCAAGGAAGGCGTATTTCTGAGGTTGTCTTGGTAACATTCCTCAACTTGTCAACCTCTGGTTGGCTACACAAATCATAACATGTGAACATTAAAACTGGATCACTCTGGTGATTCATCAGTTCTAGAGAAAGCTTCAGACCGGCCACCTGAAGCAAAACCCTCTTTTACCCATCAAAGCTTTTGACACGTCGTCAAAATCTTTTTGCACCTGCGAAGCTGATACAGCGAACGGTTCCTGCAGAACAAGCTGATATTGTTCAGACTCCTTAAGAGTCCCAGACGCGCGGTTCCATCCGTCTGTTGCGACCTGGAGACAACTCAAAGACCGGTCTAGTAGTGCTGCAGTTTCTTCTACGGACCTCGGTGCCTGGAAGTCTGAGGACTTGGACATTCCGGATCTATCACGAGGGTCTTCAAGTGGGTATGCAGACATGACAGATAGCGTCTGATGCCTTTTGATAATAATCGACTTCGTAGCTTAATGCAAACCAAATTCTTTTACACCCAGATCTCAGCTCTCCTAGATACGGAAGTTCTGATAACATCGCATTCACACATAGGTTCATACATCACTTTCAGTTCCATCCATCACATTACATGTTAGTTAACTTGTCATGTTTTAATTGTGTGTAAAATAAATTCTTACTTTTGTAAACCTGACTCTTTTCTGAATCAAAACGAAGTGTTTACAATCCCTGAATAAATATAAATCCTAGAATCTTCTGATTAAATACAGTAAAGACCAAGCAGGTTCATATTTAGATAGAGTACCACAGCTTATTGGTCATGAGTAGAGGTAACATATACAGGTGCTGGCCAGTAAATTAGAATATCATCAAAAGGTTGAAAATATTTCAGTAATTCCATTCAAAACGTGAAACTTGTACATTATATTCATGCAATGCACACAGACCAATGTATTTCCAATGTTCATTACATTTAAATTTGATATTTATAGGTGACAACCAATGAAAACATCAAATCTGGTATCTCAGGAAATTAGAATATTCTAAAGGCCAATGAAAAAATGTTTGTTTCTCTAATGTTGGCCAACTGAAAAGAATGAACATGAAAAGAATGTGCATGTATAGCACTCAATACTTAGTCGGGGCTCCTTTTGCCTCAATAACTGCAGTAATGCGGCGTGGCATGGACTCGATCAGTCTGTGGCACTGCTCAGGTGTTATGAGAGCCCAGGTTGCTCTGATAGTCGTCTTCAGCTCCTCTGCATTGTTGGGTCTAGCGTATTGCATCCTCCGCTTCACAATACCCCATAGATTTTCTATGGGGTTAAGGTCAGGCGAGTTTGCGGGCCAATCAAGGACAGGGATACCATGGTCCTTGAACCAGGTGCTGGTGGTTTTGGCACTGTGTGCAGGTGCCAAGTCCTGTTGAAAGGTGAAGTCTGCATCCCCATAAAGTTGGTCAGCAGCAGGAAGCATGAAGTGCTCTAAAACTTCCTGGTAGACGGCTGCATTGACCCTGGACCTCAGGAAACAGAGTGGGCCAACACCGGCAGATGACATGGCACCCCACACCATCACTGACGGTGGAAACTTTACACTGGACCTCATGCAACGTGGATTCTGTGCTTCTCCGCTCTTCCTCCAGACTCTGGGTCCTTGATTTCCAAAGGAAATGCAGAACTTGCTTTCATCAGAAAACATAACTTTGGACCACTCAGCATCAGTCCAGTCCTTTTTGTCCTTGGCCCAGGCGAGACGCTTCTTGCGCTGTTTCTTGTTCAAGAGTGGCTTGACACACGGAATGCGACACCTGAATCCCATGTCTTTCATGAGTCTCCTCGTGGTGGTTCTTGAAGCGCTGACTCCAGCTGCAGTCCACTCTTTGTGGATCTCCCCCACATTTTTGAATGGGTTTGTCGTCACAATTCTCTGCAGGGTGCGGTTATCCCTAGAGCTTGTACACTTTTTTCTACCACATTTTTTCCGTCCCTTCGCCTGTCTGTTAATGTGCTTGGACACAGAGCTCTGCGAACAGCCAGCTTCTTTAGCAATCACCTTTTGTGTCTTGCCCTCCTTGTGCAAGGTGTCAATGATTGTCTTTTGGACAGCTGTTAAGTCAGAAGTCTTCCCCATGATTGTGGTGCCTTCAAAACAAGACTGAGGGACCTTTTAAAGGCCTTTGCAGGTGTTTTGAGTAAATCAGCTGATTAGAGTGGCAGCAGGTGTCTTCTATATTCAGCCTTTTCAGAATATTCTAATTTTTTGAGATACCAAATTTGGAGTTTTCATTAGTTGTCACTTATGAATATCAAATTTAAATGTAATGAACATTGGAAATACATTGGTCTGTGTGCATTGCATGAATATAATGTACAAGTTTCACGTTTTGAATGGAATTACTGAAATATTTTCAACCTTTTGATGATATTCTAATTTACTGGCCAGCACCTGTATATAGAGCTCTTAAAGAACTCAAACTCTCAAACCCTACATATTGCACTCTCAGCTTTTAGCTTCATTCAACCTCAAGCTGAACTTAGTGTACGAGGTAAATCCTGCACACATCTTCTGATTGCTGTCTTACAACATGACCTTCAAGTTGTATGTTACATCCCACAGACGTAGTACTGCAGTGGTCTAACAGCTGTGAAGATGTTTGGTTGCTTCCTAGTTTTAGCTTTGTGCCCCAGTCTGGAAGCGTCCTAACCCTAACCATGACCCGGTGCAAGTAAACAGCAGAGTTAGCCTCTTCTTGAACAGGTACTGTGATTTTAACCCTCTCAGGCTCAAAATAAGTTTTGATAAAAGGACAAACAATTAAGTCCTTCAGGAGTACTTCTGAGTTAAAAAATGCTCATGAAACACGTTTGTGGAGTAGCCAGGTAGGTAGGTTTTAACTGTTGCAAATCTGCAACCCCTGCCTGCAGAGGGTTCAAACAAAACTCACCAACAAACAGGATGACAACAGCGAATGCTCCCTGCTCCAGTGGACTTGCTTGTGGAAGGCCCTGCAGCTTGATCCAAACCTCATGAAGTTTGTTCAGAAGCTCCTCTCTTAGGTCCATGTTGACCTCTGGATGAAGACGAGGTCCAGGTGCAGCTTTTCTTTCAAAGACAAACCTCTGGACTTCTATAGAAAAACACAAGACTGTAGACATGGAGCTCCACCCGCCACTTTAAAGCATCCACCCAGCAATTTCCCCCTCAAGTATTTTGTAAATACACCCTTATTTTATAGCAGCATTTGTAATTGGACATAATTTAAGAGTGGGAGTGTGTGGGTGGGCCACATGCCCACTGTGTGCACGTTCGGATAAGCTATAAACAGGACCACCTATTTCAGGCCTGGCATTTCAAGTGTGAGGCCCATCGTCCAGGGGAGCAGCTGTGTGTGGGTGAGAGCCCATTGGCGGACGCTAGAGCAGCTGTGATGATGAGGAGAGTGGTGACCGGGACTCTGAGGACACTCGTCACACGTCTCAGTCAGCGTATGTGAGCCAGGGTGGCAGTGATGGAAGAAGGAGCTATTTATAGAATCATCTTAATAAATCAAACTAAAAGCCACGTTGTTGTTATTAATTACAGAAAAAGGCTAGTTTAGATGTTTTAGTCATTGTCCCGACCCGAATAATTCCTCAAAAGCTAATCGAGTTTTTGTATTCTTGAGAAAACCTCTTTTTCCTGTTTCGGCACACATCTACCTCTGGGTCTCTGCACAAATAATATTTTATTCAAAAAAATAATACACCTTTTTGCAAAAGGTCATCATGAAACATAACTTTATCCTTTGGGTATGGGGTCTGCAACCTGCGGCTCTGGAGCTACATGCGGCCCTTCCGCCTCTCTAGTTGCTCCTTGTAACTTGAATCCAGAGTAACAGACCTGAGTATACGAGTAATCAGGTGCACAGGTAGGGTGGGGGACGGGGGGGGATCTGTCCCCCCCAGATTCAGATCGACCCCGATCCGTCCCCCCATCTAAGGCCAGAAAGAAAACAAAGAAGGAGGTTAAGCGCTTGAAGCTCCTTTTTCCAATTACACTGAATGCAGCATGACGTAAACAAACACCGACTCCAGAGGCGCCAAAGTGGTTGCTGCTAGGATGCAGGATGAAGTGAAAAAGGAAAGCAACAATTACTGCGTATTTAAAAAAGACCAACAGTGTAAGTAGGCGGGACAGATCTGTCTGTTTATGCGTGTTGGTTCTAGTTTCAGTCCGTTGTTGTCAGTGTTGGGACTTACTCGTTAAAAGCGCCAAAGCCTCATTGCTGACTTTAACAAGTCTCATCTACAAATATGATCCCTCATGAAGTTACTACTTTACACCAGAAGATAGTGGAGATGTGGAACCTTCAGGCTGAGCAAAGTTTGGGGGTTTTTAGAGTTTGAAAATCGCCTCCCACCGAGAGGCTCCCAGTCGGGGAGAGGAGGAGATGTGCGCAACATGAAGAGCATAAATATTAGATAAAACGTATAATTGCCAGCAGGTCTGGTCTTTGTTGACTGATCACTTTGTCTGGTCATGACTGACTCTGATTATGAAGCAGAATATTGACTCTGATGAAGAAATTCACTCATCCAGTCGGGAAGATGGACGCTGCTGCAGCATCAGACAGCTGGTGCTGCACGAGAGGTGTGTGGAGTTTACAAGCTCCACACGTTGGGTTTTATGTTGGTTTAACCTTCTCTGGGACGTGATGGATGTGGAAATGATGGTAAAACCCCACCAACGTGACAAACGTAGCGACAATGTAAAAAAAAGCCGTAAAAAAGGAGCAGATGCCGATGCGTTGGGTATGGAAGTCAAGTGTGTCACATAATCATACAAAAAGTAAAATATAAAATTTAAAAAGAGATTTATATGTTTATATATAAATTAAAACTTTCCTAATATAATGAAAATTTATAAATATCGTAAAAATACAAAGGAACATCTGCTGGTCAGGCTGAAAAGTTTGGGAACTACTGCTCTTAGTGATACGTGAATTTCGTTTTTTAAATATATTTTATGTGCAGTTTTTTAGGGCTTTTATGTTTTCTGTAAAGATCGGTATGCTGAAAATCATTTAATGTTTTGCATAAAGCATGAGGTGTTGGTTAGTAAATGATTGGGAGAATAACAAATGACTGATTTAAATAGTGGAGCACCTCTGTCAGTGCGCCCCAGGGCACCTGTGGCTACATTGTAGCTCATCACCATCAGTGTGTGAATGTGTGTGTGAATGGATGAATGATACACTGTAGTGTAAAGCGCTTTGGAGTCCTTACTCTGAGTCAGGAACTCCTCCCGCTGACTTCATTCCAATCATTCCTGCCACCAACGTAGCGGCTGACGTCATCACGCCGACACTACTTAAGGAAGTGCCGGCGTTTCATTCATTGCTCAGTCAACGTTCTCACCAGACTTTGTATCGAGTCTCCAGGCTTACCAGCCCTCTAAACCTTCAAACTAAACCTTCAGGAGATAACCACGCTGGTTATTTCCATCACTCCGCGTCTGGGCAACAGATCCTCTCAGTCACGCTTCAGATCTGCCAACGAACCTGACACTATACAAGTGCGGATCATTTATCATTTATAGTGTTGATCAGGCAGAGCTTTGTTGCATAACGGCTTCAAACACGTGTATAAAAGTTAGTTTTTACGTAAACCGTTGGATGAAATTACACAAACTGACTGAGCTCTAGTTAAGGCGCTTGCAGTAGTTTGTGTGTGTGTGTGTTTGGGGGAGGGTACATTGGAACTTTGTCCCCCCCAGTTTGAAAATCCTATCTGCGCCCCTGCGAGTAATATGACTTTGTTAGCGTGTTGCTACATTTATGTGCTGCTTTCAGACACAGGGGAAGATTTTCCCCCAAATGAATTAAAGTAGAAGGAGTCGCCGCTCCTCTGCTGGATCAAAAAGTGGAATAAACAGAATGAAAATCCGCACACTTCAATCTGACAATGAGGACTACCTCAGCAGTACTGTTTGGTGTGAACCTCCACAATTCCTGATGAAGGTCTCTGACCGAATGCTTGACCAATAAACTCCTACATCAGAGATTGAAGTGTGCTAGACATTTAACAATTAAACAGTAATAAAGATAAACATGGGCCCTTGCCTAGATTGTCTACTAGAGGCATCAGGCGTGTAGGACCGAATCAGGCGGTTTGTGTTGACGGTACTAATCCTGACCCTCCATCTGGATGCTGACGAGGTTTGATGCGAATGAGAGACAGTAGATGGAAAATGCAGCAACAATGTGATAAAGAACATCTGATGATTCTCTGTGGAAACCAGATGATAGAGGACTACCTCAGCAGTACTCGTAACGTCTGACAGAACCCTGTGAGGGAATGTACTTCCAGTGTGTTTTCTCTGTTGTGGGACAGATGATGAGCCTATGCACGTGGCTCTGCTTGCAGCCACCATGACTCGCCCTGATTGGATTGGTTTGCTTGTTTCAGTCGGGCTCAGTGCTAGGCTTTGGTTCCGTCATACTGCTGGTATTTGGAAGCTTGAGAGCCCAGAAGTGCATCTATTCACACAGGAAGTACAACAGATCTCAGCTGTGTTCCTGTAACAATGTCTACGTGAATTAGTACTCCAGGCCTGCGTTGACATATTTTATATTCTTGTTTCCTGTCCAGAAGCTCCTCCAGCTGCTAGATAAACCTCCACCACCGGTCAGGTTGAGTGGGAGTCTTGTCTGCTGCTTCTTAAACCAGAAACAGCACCTCCTTTAGGCCAAACGTGTCAGAGCCCTCAGTAAACACACACTTCTGTGTGATTAACCAGAAAAAGGCACACCAACACATCTTCTGCTGAGATATGCACAAATAAAAGACACAAACTAAAGTTGAGGAAGAGTTCCTTACCTCTGCTGGGAATGTCCTGTACCTGTGTGAGCATCAGTGTCTCCACTTGTTGACGTCCTCTAATGTCAGCTGTCCTGTTCTTCTGGAACCCTCTGTCCCACCTAGGAGTCTGGTCCCATTCAGAACCAGAGCAGATGTATTCTGACTCTTTTAGGAGATCGGAGCTCATTTGGGTCTTGCTGTTCCTCCAGCAGTGCTTGTTCACTTTCTCCTCCAGCTCTCACGGGGTTTGTGTACCTCCTCCTCCTCCTCCTCATTTTTCACCATACCCCTCCCTCCCTTCCTCCTCCAACCACGTCCAAAGTTGATCCATTCACTGGTGCTTACGTTGTCTCTCACTCCCCCTCACCCTCTGTCCTGCTTACACATCTACACACATGTTCACAGTTTGTTCCTCCTCCCTCTATGTTGCTACACACCAGCTGTGCAAGGGCCCCCGTTATGTTTTTCTTTTCGTCTTCAGTCACCGTGGAGACGGGATCCTTGTGAGAGAAGCAGGAGGCGGTGTTTGTATATGTGGCCTGTCTGGTGTCCCGCCAGCTGACTCCCATATTTCTTTAGAGCGAGTCTCCAAGCGTTTGCTGCTAGGTCAGCCACACTTCCTCTGTGCGCACATGGGAAGTGACACAAGATGCTTTAAAGGTAGCTAGCTCCTTGACCAGCAGAGTCCAGAGAAAAACAATGGGTGTTATGCCTTTAACTCGGTATGTGAATTGTGGCTGTAACATGCTCTCCGGGGTGTTCAGAAGGGCTTTGATGGGAGTGGGAGTACATGGGAGAACAGTCAGACATTCCAGATGCAAACACACACGCACAAAGGCCATTTCTCAGCTCCCAGCTTTATCAAAACACAGCACCAAGTCCCAGCAGTGGAAGCGTGTTACAGTTTTTTTCGATTGCTAAACCTCAAAAAGCAAAAATGAGGGACAATTTTCACAACCTCTACTTCTGTTTCCAATTGCTTCACTCAATTTATCACGACTTAAGATTTCCTTATCATATTAGAACTCTGATTTTCCTCCTTTACACTCTGATGTCAATTTTACATTACCTTGCTGTCAAAACACAGCACACAATTTTCAGGTTTACTCACACTTCTCACATCAATTCTCAAAGCTTCAATCAACAACACACAAATATTCAACTCTCTAAACTTTCGGGTCTGGCGAGCAATTTGCAATCAGGGACTGCAGCATAAGAGTAAGTTTCCACAAGGCTACCCAGGTGTATGAGTGGTTTCAGGACCACCCACGGTTTTCCATTTTATACCTTCCACCTTATTCCCCCTTCCTCAATCCCACTGAGGAGTTTTTCTCAGCCTGGAGGTGGAAGGTGTACGAAGGGAATCCACAGAGCCAGGTCCCACTGCTTCAAGCCATGGAGGAGGCTTGTAGAGATGTGGCCTTTGAGGCCTGTCAGGGCTTCATGAGGCACTCGAGGCGGTACTTCCAGCGCTGTTTGGACCAGGAGGATGTTGATGAGGCCCTCTGGCCAGACAGAGACCGGCGGCATGATGCCCCATGATTATGCTTGGGGGGGGGGGGGGGGGGGGGGGGGGGGGGGTTGACTGTAAAAATAAAATGTTTTGTCTCAAAATTTGTGTGATGTCTAATGTTTGTCTCAGAGAAAAGTGGGCACTGTCATACATTGAGTGTGTAATTCATTGTGTTCCATTTAGACACTTGTGTTCTATTTCGTCTAGTCTTAGCCCTTAAGCGAGCTGCTATTGGAAGGATGATCTCCGCATCAGCCAATCATGAAGAGCTTCAATGTACACCCACTAATAGTGGGCCCCCTTATGAGTATATAAGTGGAGCGACTCCACTGTTCGCCTCCTTTTTCTCTTCATGCCAAGCCTGAGAGCTTCTTTAAAGAGCAATTATCAAAGAAGATTACGACTCACCAGCCATGTCCAGCGACGCCAGAACCTGCCCGGCCTGCCAGACGGGCTCCATTTCCAGCGGCGACCTGCACGCCAAATGTGAGGTCTGTCTCGGGGCTCATCACGCTGGCCTCGTGCCCGTTTTGTGCCGCTCTGCCCGTGGCTGAGAAGATCCGCCGGGTCGAGTGCTTCACTCCTGCCGCCGACGAGGAATTCCCGGTGGCTGAGACGTATTCGCTGGACAAGGCTTTGGACTTCTTCAACGCCGGTCAGGAGCCGGCTGGCTTCAACCGGCTGGATGACGTCACCGACAGCGAGGACTACGACGAGGCTAGCCGCCTTAGCCATTCCTCCCTCCTAGACAACACAGAGGTCGACGAGCCTGGCTCAGCGGGTCTTCCTGCCCCAGCGGCTTCTCGCTCCTCCCTACCAGCAGTAAGAGCACTGCTCCAGGAGCTGCCCGCCTTCATCTCCGTGGCTGCGGTCCGCAAGGGGCTAGCCGTTCCAGAACCGCCCCTGCCAGAAGCGGATGACTTAGCGGGAATTTTCGGGACAACTCAGACGCCCTGTCCAGACCCTATCTGGCCGCGCTTCCCCGCTGCTATGGGCTGCTGGTCCGCCGCCTTCACCGAGCCTGCAAAGCTCAAGGCGCCAGTTTCCACCTACGCGCCCATCACCAAGGTCGAGGGCTTCTCCGACCAGGGCTGGCCGTCCGTTCCTCCACTCGAGCCGGACTTGGCCTTGCTGTTTGGCGCCAAGAACCACCTCACTGGTCCGTGAGCAGTTCCCGCTTCGAAACATGACCAGCTGCTGACATGGCTCACCGACCGCGCACACCAGTGTGCCTTTCAGACCGGAGCTGCAGGGAATAACATCGCCCTTCTCGCCTTCGGCGTTTCGAAGATGATGGAGGAGCTGGATGCTCCCGACGAGTCGAAGACCGTCATCATTAAAACTACTGATGCTATCCTCAATCTATGTGCTGCTGTGCTCACCGGTTCTGCTTGCATTGCTGCCTGGCAGACCCTCATCAAGCGGGCCCTGTGGCTCAAGGCCCTGCCCTCCATTCCTGATCACCTGCACAGAGAGATGCTGGAAGGCCCCATCACCTCTGACGGTCCCCATCTTAGGGGCGTCATCGAGAGGGCTCAGAAGACAGCTGAACTATCAGCTACGGTGCGAGACCTGGTCCACCCTCAGTCAGCCTCTCACTCCGGCCGTTCCACCAGAAGATGGGACAAACGGCGTGGGAACTTCAGGTGCCCGGCTGCGCCGCCCGCTCCACGGAGCCGGCCCCCCGCTTCGGCTCCACCTCAGCGAGACCAGCGAGTTGGCGGCCAACGGGTTCGACGGAGCCAGCAGACGCCGTTGTGACAGGCGCAGGAGCCTCGCCGGAAGAAGCCACGGAAATGACTCCTTGGGGGGAATGTGTGTGTTCATGAGTGTAATGCTGTTGATGCTGCTGTTGATGTTGGTTTTGAAATAAAACCCAAAAAACGTCACTTAAAGAGCTCAATCCTACAGTCCTCTGCAGAGTCCTCTGCCGGCTCTTCACACACATTCCCCACATCAAGCACTGCGGCACATATACGTATTCCCGCAGTCAGTCATGCCTCACGGCCAGCTGTAAAGGTGCGCTCCATTCGCGCACCGGCCCCGGCCTCCGGCCAGGCCCAGCCCGTCCCGTTTTCCCCACAACGCTGGGTGGGACGGGACGTCATGACGCGGCCGCGGTCATGACCGCGGCCGCGGTCACGCGTGGCGGCACAGTACGCGGCTCCGTCCGCGGGCTCTTTGCCATCCCCGTGTATGGACCCGGCTCCCACTCGCCCTGCTCCTTTGGTCTCCACACCCCGCGGTGCGGATCAGCATCTTCCAGCTGGTTCACACTCGCCCTTTCGAGCACAGCCCTCCATGGGTCGCCCCCAGTCTTCTGGGGCGAGCGACGGTGGTAAGGGCGCATCCTCAGTCTTCAGACACTACTCACATGACCGCGAACACGCGTCCGCTGTCGGAACGCGCGCGCGAATGGGGCCGCCTTTGTGCCATGAGCAAATGGATATCGGAGACCATTCATTACGGTCACGCACTCCATTTTCAGGCCGCTCCTCCTCCCTTCAACGGGATCGTGGAGACGACGTTCACATCTCAAGTTCAGTCTCAGACCCTAGAGCTGGAGCTGCGGGACCTTCTGTCCAAGGACGCTATTTCCCGAGTCCCTCGCAGACAAGAGCTCTCGGGTTTCTACTCCCCCTACTTCATAGTACCGAAGAAGTCGGGACGAATGAGACCGATTCTCAATCTTTCCCTGTTCAACTGCTCCATAGCAGTGATGCATTTCCGCATGTTGACAATGAGGCAAGTCCTGGAATACGTGCGTTCCGGAGACTGGTTCACGTCAATAGACCTGAAAGACGCATACTTCCACATCCCGGTAATTCCCAGGCACCGGAAGTTCCTGCACTTCTCATTCAGGGGAGTTCAATACCAATTCAATCGCCTCCCTTTCGGCTACTCGCTAGCCCCGCGCACTTTCTCCAAATGTCTGGAGACCGCGCTGCAGCCGCTGCGCGCGGCGGGAATGAGAGTTTTATTCTACCTGGACGAACTGCTCCTGTACGCTCGGTCCGAGGATGAGGCGTCGGAACGGACCAGGAAGTTAACAGAGCATCTGTCAACCCTGGGGTTTTCTATAAACTGGGAGAAGAGCTCCATCCTTCCGTCCCAGTCGATTGTGTTTCTCGGGGTGGAGCTGAACGCCTCCCTGATGAGAGCACGTTTGTCGCCGGTGAGAGGGGTAGATCTCATCGCGGTGATCTCCCGCGTGCAACCCCGCAGAATAGTGAGAGCCCTGTTAATCATGAAACTTCTGGGCATGATGGCTGCAGCCCACGCTGTGGTGCCGCTAGGGTTGCTGCACACGAGGCGCCTGCAACGTTGGTTTATTCGTCTCCGGGTGCACCCAATACGTCAGAAGGCACGTATGTTGAGGGTTCCCCCCTCAGTGGGCGGGGACCTCGCTCACTGGGGGAACCCCAGCACCCTTTCACACGGAATCCCCATCGGACGCCCTGCGTCACACGTGTCTGTGGTTACGGATGCGTCGCTGTTGGGGTGGGGGGGTACGTGCTTGTCCCATACGGTGGTTGATCACTGGCCCTCCCACACGCACGAGCACATAAATGTGTTGGAGCTGATGACAGTGAGGAATGTGGTCAGACACTTCGCTGCCCTTCTCGAGGGCCGACATGTCGAAATTCACACGAACAACCGGGTGGCGGCAGCCTACATAAATCGCCAAGGGGGAGTTCGGTCTCTCCCTCTGTTGCGTGTAGCCACAGATTTACTGTGTTGGGCGCATGTCCACCTGCTGCCCATCAAGGCCA